GCACAGTGACCAGCACACATTGAAACTGCAGTAAAATATTCACAGAATAAGTGAGCAGTAGATTAAATGAAGTACTACCTAAAACCAGTGGTCACATCTGGGAATAAATGAAAAGTATCCTTTTTCGTCAGGATTTATTATTTTCACTGATTCTGGGGGAAGAGAAGGTTGTCTCATAATTCTCAGAAGATGCAATCAGAGAGTTTTAAGGACTTTGGTTATTTGGCTCTGGATTCATTTATCTGTTCTTCAATGTTTCCCACCCAAGTCATTTTGAGTTGTTTCTCTGACACAAATGAGTTGACTCATAGCAGGTAACAAAGCAGTGTCAAGCTGCTGTGAAAGTTGAACTGGTTCCTACTCTGCTCAGGAAATGACACTGGACCTGCCAACTGCATCCTTACTCCAGGGGCCGCCAGCAGGGTTGATGCTTCGGTTCTCTGGTCACCAGGCAGAGCTGGTCAGTACTGGCCACAGAAAACACACACTGATTTGTGAGGCTGCACTTCTGGGCCCTCAACTCTCATTTTCACCGAGATGTCTGACCGAGCTGAGCCTGACCTGAAACTACTAAGGATATGAAGCCATCTTCATTTTGGCCATTACACCCACAGTGAGAAAGCTGTTAACTGGTGGGTTAGAAATGAATGGATTACTCACTTCTTCATTTCTTTTAGGTTACCTAGAAGATGGAAGATGAGAGTCAGTTGAAACAATCTTTCCTCTAATGAGAGTTCTATTTCTAGGGGAAGGTATTAGCAGAGATCAAACTATTTCTAATTTAACACTAATAACTGGATAAACACTGGCCTTCACCATACAGAGGATACAGACTGTACTGGATAAATGTGACTCATCAAGTCTTAGATGGCATTTCTCAGGGTGATGGTGAATTTAAAACTTCTTGAGACAATATTTCACAACATCCTTTCAAAGTACATAGAGTTATTTTTTTTAATGATTGTCTTAGTTATGATATAAAAAATACTTGTGATGTACATTTGGACAATATGTTTTAATAAGTCAGACATAATCAAGAACCATTTCTTAACATGTAAATGGGTTTTTATGAATAAATATGTGGTCTATATGGAATTTTTACAGCAGTCTAAATTATTAAATAAATACATGAACATAATAACCAAGTGGGCTTCCCAGTACCACCACAGTAAAGAAATTGCCTGCCAATCCAGGAGACATAAGAGACATGAGTTTGATCCGTGGGTAGGGAAGATCCCCTGGAGAAGGGCAAGGCAATCCACTCTAGTATTCTTGCCTGGAGAATCCCACGGACAGAGGAGCCTGGTGGGGTACAGTCCATAGGGTCGCAAGGAGTCAGACACAACTAAAGCTACTTAGCAGGCATGCATGCAAGAACCAAATACAAACTGAAGATGGACATCTGCTTTTTTAGCCCTTTATTTTGTATTGATCCCTCTGCATTTCTATATACCTATCAACTTATGGATACATTACTATTCATACAGACTATAACTTTCTGACAACAAAAGTCATTCATCCACCACACAGAAAGTTCCTTTTAATAAGCAGGGTGATTAGAATTCTAATGGCTCATTAAAGAGCTCCTTCATTTATTCACTCCAGAAACATCTGTGGAGTGCTATCAAGGTGACAGGGCACAGATGCAATGGTGTGGGGAGCATGGCCGTGAACAAGGTATCACAGTCCTAGACCTTCTGGCCTTTGTGTCCTAGTGAGGGAGACAGATAGCAAACTACCAGATGAGCAAGTCAACAGGGGAATTTTAAACAGTGGTCCATGCTATTATCAGCCTCTTGGAGAAGAACATTGGAACTGGAACATGCGTGTGAAGGACACTTTTTTAAAAACTGAATGTGTGTCTTCACACATTGAAAAATATCTTTAGAAACTGAACTGACACCATTACTATATGCACTGTCCACATGAGAAGGAGATTAAGATTAGAAAACACGCAAAAGTCAAATGTAAAAGTCAAATGTGTCTGGTACAAATTAAAAAGCAAGTGATTGGATGGCGGGTCCTCTCACAAAGACCCTCTGTGCTTATGCGTAAAACAAGAGTAACACTATGCTTTCCAAAACTGCCATGAGATGAAATCAGTGAGAGCATCTCACACCAACCAAGCCCCTGGGTACAAAGCAGAGATGAGATGCATTCTAAGTGCACCTTCGCTTCTGCATCTTTCCCTCTTGAGAAAGTTACCCTGTGTAGATTTCTTCATGCGGCTTCCTTTCCTGTCACCCACCGGTCCTCCCACTTACTGAGGAGTCCTCCAGTCAGTCTTCAGATTTCGCAAAGTGAAACTTGGAACAGGGCTAGCGAAGCACTAATGTTATTCCAGCTAAAAGCCTGGCAGGTGGTGCCAATCGTAATTCTTCTAATAACTGTATTGTTATGGCAAGGCGACCTCATCTTGGGTTATCTGTATTACTTTACATGCATCTAAAGCTATGCTTTATCCTAACACACAGTGGCTGTGAATTGAAGAACGAGAGGTCAGGCTGCAAGAGTGAAGAGGAACTGGAGAGGAGCCGAAGGCAAGGGTGACCCGAGAGCCTGATGACCCTAGCCGTTTGAATGCAAACAGGTCTCTTGGGAACTGAATCAGGGTCTCTGCTTCCAGCTCCAATGAGAATAATCAGGTCTGTTGTAGCTCCTTGGAGGCAGGGGACAACGACCATTCCAAGTCAGGACACTGGCAGTTTCTTAAGGACTGATATTAAATTATCTGGAGAAGGGGAGACTAAGAAGCTGGTGAAGACGCTGGGGTACAAATTAAAGACAGACAGCATCATGACCATCTGGCACCATTTTCTAATCTAAGTCCTTTAGAGGCCTTATAAAGTCACAGTAGCTGGACAGAGAGCACACAAGGGAAGAAAAACAAAGACGAAATGAAGACTCAAATGAAGAAATAAATATCACTCCTGTGAATTTCACTGTGTGCCCCATTTCCACCACTTTGACGCTATGAGTTCTAGGCAAGCCACATAATAATGATATGATTTCAGCAGACTGAGATATGGTCAGTGGCAATCTATGATCCCAGGGACATTTGCCAGGAGTGCAGAGCAGCCAGGCCACGGTTGGAGATGGGCACGCTCCTCAGACACAGACTGGGGTGATCACAGCAGAGCATGGCCAGGCCCTGGCAGCTCATCTTCTGGATGGATCCTCAAGGCCGGTTCTCCTGAGGTTCTGCCCATGGGTAGGGGTCTACATCCGGGTACTGCCCATCCACACCAGCTTTAATAAAAGCTACCCCTTTCCTCTATAGCGGGAATCCTGTCTGTAGTTTACAAATATGAAGACTGAACTTCCGAGCCGATAGGCGAGTATGGTTTGCACAGCTGATGGCAAAGCTGGAATCTGACTACAGTTCTGCCTGACTTTAAAGTGTACCTTAAGACTACATCAGCTAATACTGAAACTACCCCAGGACCCCTCTGTAGGTACCAATTGCTATCATGTTGTTTTTATTCAGTCGCTAAGTCAAGTCAGACTCTTTGCAACCCCATGGACTGCAGCACTTCCCTGTCAGGCTTCCCTGTCCTTCACCATTTCCCAGAGTTTGCTCATACTCATGCCCGTAGAAGTCTGTGATGCTATCCAACCATCTCATCCTCTATCGTCCCCTTCTCCTCCTGCCTTCAATCTTTCCCAGCATCAGGGTCTTTTCCAGTGAGTCGTCTCTTTGCATCAGGTGACCAAATAATTGCAACTTCAGCTTTAGCATCAATCCTTCCAATGAATATTCAGGGTTGATTTCTTTTAGGATTGACTGGTTGGATCTCTGTGCTGTTCAAGAGACTCTCAGGAGTCTTCTCCAGCACCACAAGTCTATCATGTAAACATTTATTCTGTTCCATGTTTCCATACTTTCTTGACCATGTTAAAAGAACAGGTGCAGCAAAAAAATAACATCATATCAAAATGGAGATTTATAATATTTGAACGCTTGATGTTGAAGCTGAAACTCCAATACTTCGGTCACCTGATACGATGAACTGACTCAATGAAAAGACCCTGATGCTGGAAAAGATTGAAGGCAGAAGAAGGGGATGACAGAGGATGAGATGGTTGGATGGCATCCCGACTCAATGGACATGAGTTTTGGCAAGCTTTGGGAGCTGGTGATGAATAGGGAAGCCTGGTATGCTGCAATCCATGGCGTCACAAAGAGTCAGACACAACGGCAACTGAACTGAACTGAATGTGCCTGCCAAAGGAGACTGCTGATAACTGAACTAGCAAAGAATTAAAACAGTAATGGAAACTTACAGAAAAAATAATGGTATTCATCATTTCCAGTATACATTGTATGTGACTATTGCCAACATATTTTTTTTCTGGACTGTAAGAGTTTTCCTAATATGTATATCCATCATGGAAGTCGCATCAATTCCTTTAGACTAAAAACCCTGCTGACAGGACTTCCCTGGTGGTCCAGTGGCTAGGATTCTGAGCTCCCAATGCAGGGGGCACAGGTTCAATCACTGTTTGGGGAACTAAGATCCCACACGCCGCTCAACATGGTCAAAAAAGCCCACCCTGCTGCCCCTTTTTCTTTCTTCTTCCCAAAAGACACCTTTCCCCTGTGAGACAAGACTCACATCTGGTCTTTTGATTTCTGTCCTGTCTTTGCAATTGTCCCCAAACCAGGTATGAAGTCAGTTTTTCCTCTCGGGAGCTGTAACTAGTAAGGGGAAAAAAGATCCCCATTCTCACTGTCTCTATGGAGTGGATTTCTTCATTCCCAAAGAACTATTATTTCTCTTTATGGGCTGCTAACTAACATCTGCAAAATAAGTCTTTTTGGCACAGTAATTGGCTCTGGAACTCACTGTAGTGAAATTTAACCTGCATCCCCATCTCAGGTCAGTCCCAGTCTCCTGCTGTAATTCTACCTTGTAGGCACTCAGTACCGCAGACACAGGTGCAGGCAAGTAGTGATGTTTTATTAAAGAACGTGTCATGGATTTAGGGAAGATACATACCTGATGGCACTTGCAGATAAGTGGCCGTAGGAGCCACTTGCTGAAGAGCTGCTGCGGGAGTTATTGAGAATCGTGACCAAGGAGTTGGGAGACGTCCTTATCATGGTCTGCAGGTCAAAGCTGTGATCGGACAGTGGCGATATGGACAGTGTGCGTTTCCGGCTCGGCCGGGCTGACAGCCTGGGGCTGGGGAATCTGGTGCCTGTTATGTAAACAAAACAGGATCTGATTACCTGTGGCTGGACTTGGTACCTGTTATCTATTCCTGTTAGCCCGTATGGAAGAACTGGAGGATAAGAAGCCAGCGACCAGTGGTGACAAGTACCTTTCTCTTCCCGCTTGTGATCTACTGGCTACAATTGAGGGAATTAGGGAGAAATATTTATCTTCCAGGGACTTACCTCAGGGGAGCTCTGTTTATTAATGTGCAGGCAAAATGATAAATTGCTAAACAAAAGGGAAAGACTTTTATGTGTTATCCCTCTCATTTCCACTGATTTATGAATCTGACGGCTGCTTAGATATTCTCATCATTAATTCACCACAAGCGACAAAGACAGTGGTTCCCACAGTCACAGCGCACCCAGCCTCCCCACTCCCAACACGCGTAGCTTTAAAGCAATAAGCCAAAGGGGAAAAATGAATTAAAGTATCTTAAGATTAAAAAAATCCAGCTTAGTTATGCCTTCATTTCCCCATGATTTCTTTAGCTATCTGATCATGGACTATTTATGGCTTTACTGAAAAACCTGATAAATACATTATCCTAAATTAATGGTTCTCGATGGAGGGGTGGGAATAGATTTTGCCCCCAGGGGACATGTGACAACATCTGGAGATATTTGGGTTATCACAATTCAGGGGGTGCTAAAAACATCGAGAGGGTAGGGAAGCTACTGCACACCCAGGGATGTGCAGGGCAGGCTCCCATCATGAAGAAGCATCTAGTCCTAGTAGTGCCCAAACTGAAGGACCCTGCCTTAAATTCCCCATTATCTAACAGCCTGAGTCCCAAGAAACATTTAAAAACTTGGGACTGTGGTTTGTTTACCCATTTTCCAAGGGCAGGTTGGGAGGGACCCTCCAAGCATTATAATAAGATAACATGAGTCAATTTTAATTCTCTGGTTATTAGATGGATCAATCAATCAATTAATTCTATGCATTTATTAAAGTTTTGAGACTTCAAGAAGATTCCACTGATGAAGTTCTGTTCTAGAGGTTAGTAACTCATACTTAAATGCCTGCCAACTTAATACAATGCTTGTTACACAGAGTTAAAAATTAAATGCCCATTTGCCTGCAATTTGGCAGATGTTAGAGATCTAGATTTCAGAGCATAACTATAAATGTGGCCCACAGGCCTACTCCTGCCTTTTCTAAGGTCACATTTACATTACAGAGTATGACAGAATGAGAATATAATCCTACTAGGTAAGAGGCAAATCAAATATAATTACTTTTAAGAAAGAATGGAGGGTTTCTATTTCAAAGAATGGGCACATCTGCTGACACGGACATGTAATTTGGGGGTACACAGAAAATGGTAGTAGAGGGTAAGACTTCTTTATAGAAAAATGTCTGGGTACCTGGTCTATAGAAAACTAATTGGGAATATTTTCTTCATCAGAGGTGAACTTTGACACAAGATAACAATCCAAAATGATTTAAGATAATTTAATGAAATTCAATAGATAACTATGAAAGACTTACAGATATTATTATAGAGATAAATAGACATACTTTATAGCTAATAAAAAAAATCATAAACTGGAACTTCGTACCATCCATGAATATAAAACTGGTAAGCCAATTTGAATGACAAATGTGGTCCCTACTCAAATCCTTCTTTTAGGCACATTGAAAATTGAATTTCTTCACTTAGAAGTTTCATGACCCACCTGATTTAGGCCCTGTGAGTACAAAAACAGCAGTCCCACTGTGTTCACAGCTTTTATTGCCTAAACCAGCATCTTTTATTATGACATCAGCTTTACACATAAATGTTTCATATAGAGGATAATCTCATCAAAGAAGTTTTTCAATGAGGAAATGCATTCCACTTCCAAAGGACTCCAAGGAACAAACCAGACTTCCGGTCAACTTCCATATCATCCTTGACAGTAACCATTCTCAGTGAGACTCAATGATCCCTGGCAGAGTATTAGAAGTAGCAGGACATTCCAGACAGAGCTGATGCCCTGATTTAAATCACTAACTAGATGAGGAGGTCATCTGATTCTATGAAACACTGGGGCCTATATCCCCTCACATCATCCAAAGACAGAGCCCAAGGCTTTTCATGGAAGCTCGTGGTTCCCTAGGGACTGGTTGGTCCATCTCCTCTGTTTTCCCCTTCAAGATGGGCACTTACTTAAGTCAGTTTCCACCATATAAACATTGTGGCTTTCAGGATTTAGGATTTCTCTAGGAAATATACGGATTACTTGCTCTCCTATCTTTAAAAGTCACTAGAATCCCAAAAAGTGGAATTAGAGCCATAAAACAGGCTTGTTCATTCTAATGCCCAACACAGGAAAACTCTATCCCGAAGCTGGCTGAAACCCCAGTAAGCCCACTGTTGGCACATTTAAAAGTCAGGTGCTCATCTGAGTCCAGTTTACTGCTGCTTTTCTGCCGACCGATGAGTCCTAAAGATTTGTTACAGTGGAGTAGAATGACCCACTGTATGCCAGGCTGGCTCTGCTTTTGCTACTGCAGAGCCAATGTAGAAATTTAACCTCATTTCGCTTCTCCCTTGAAAAACATCTCGTAGGTTTTATATTTAATACGTAAGAACAGGGGACTTCTCTGGGAGTCCAGTGACCAAGACTCCATGCTCCTAATGCAAGGGGCCTGAGTTTGATCCCTTGTCAGGGAACTAGATCCCACATACTGCAACTAAGAGCTTGCGTGAGGCAACTAAAGATCCTGCATGATACAACTAAAAAAAAAAAAAAATACCGCATGCCATGATGCAACTAAGATTCGGCACAGCCAATTAAATAAATAAAATGGTTCAAAAAAAAAATAAAACAGAAGAACATTCTTTTTATGTTCTGTTAAGTTAAATGCTATTTCAACTACTTCAGAAGGCAGGGATATAGTACTTTTAAAATGCTTTCCAACCCTTCATTATGCTCTTCCCAACTCCCTAGCAACCAAGCAAAGAAAGTCATCAGCATTTAGGACAGTGATTTGGGATCCTCTGTTGAAGGGAACAGCTAAACTACAAGGTGAGGGTTTCAAAACAGCTGAAAGAGAAGTGGCCCAGGTTGCCACTGATCACCCTGCTTCCTCCTAAATATAAGCCTGAGCAGTCTCATTGTTCCAACACTGATTTCCTGCTCTAGCTTTCTGTTAATTGTTTTGTTTCTCTATTCTAATGAAAGATTCTGACAAAGAAAAAGGAGGTTTCTTTTTATGTGATGAATAATAGGATATCTAAATTCCTACTTAATGACAATCAATTTACCATATACTCTGGCAAATTAAAATGCCTTTAATTAGTTTTTACTAAGTAAAAGGGTAGCTTCATCCTTTATTTAGATAAAAACCGCCATTGCCTGACTAAACACATTCTCATCAAATAGAGAAGGTAATATGGGTTGACCTTCCAAGGAGTCTCTCTTATTTTAATTCTTTATTTGCAGATTTTTAAATAACTGATTTGCATAATAACACTCAACTTTTTTTTTTTTTCCAACAACCCCTAATTGAAATGTGGTCATGATGAATCTGCAATGGAAACTCTTTCTTCTACAAAGCAGAACCACAAAATCCCTGCGGAAGATGTAACACATTTCTCTCACTTTGGGTGAGGTAATGAACTCCCCAGTGGAAACCCACCCAAGCAGTGTTCCTATGTAACCCAGCTAAGTTACTTCATGCCATTAAAGGGACTAGAGCTGTAGGTTTTATACTGTGTGAACCAATCATCTTCTGTCTGTTGTAAATCTGAGAGCTGAACTATTAACCACTGCTAGAGAGTAGACCAAGGTCCACTCATCGTCACAGAAGAATCCAAACAGCCTCTAGACAGAGAAGCACAAATTAACCACTGCTACTAGAAAAAACAAACAAAGTCTTTAGCCTATGTCCTGCTCAAACTCATATCATCTTCGTATTCAAAGGGTTTCATTATGTATACCTCGGATGATACTTTGGCTTCACTTCCTGGCGCCTAGTAAATGGATGTGAACCTAAAGGATAAAAACTCTTCGATGTTCTGAGAAATGATAATCACAGGTTCTCATCTGTACCTCTAATCTAGAGAAGTGACACTAAGGACTCATCATAAGCCTTGAGGGGTCCAAAAGTAAGTCATTTAAAGCGCATCCAATGATCCCATTTTCTTCCACTGCTAGATACTAACAGTAGCCCTTTCTGATGTGGAAATGATTTTTGTTTCCTATATAAGAGGTCTCAGTGAGACAGAATTTTTTAACATAAAGAAAACACAGAAGCGTACACAATAACAAAGCGTAGCCCCTGTTTGCAACAACTAGAGAAAGCCTGCACAAAGCAATGAAGACTCAGTGTAGCCAAAAATAAATTAAATAAATAAGACCTAGAGTCTCTTAAAATAACATTTTTTAAAAAAGAAAACAGGAGGAAAATAAGAAAAAAATAAATCCATGAAAAACATGAAATCAACTATAGGTCTCTTTTTTTAATTTTTAAAGCATAAAATCTATAAAATCAAGAAATGACTGGTCAAAAGCATGTTCATCTAATCAAACATATTCCCTTATTCTGCTACCAAGACAATCAGAGCCAATTAGTGTTTTTGTGTATCTGCCAAATTATAACTGCCTGCATCTTTGAGTTCACTGACATAAGCTGAGCTAATTGGCAAGTTTCAGGATGGCCAAGTCTGTGGGAGTTTCCTGGAAAACCAAGGGAACCAGAGCCCCAAATATTGGTGGTGCCTCCTCCTTCTCTGCTTTGGAAAGTTAGGTAATCAACTCATCTTAGTACCTTCCTCTCCCTTTCATGCATTAGCCTGACCATGCCCGGGGCTACCGAGGCAGCTCTGCCACTTACTATCCATGGCGTGAAGATACTCCATGTGGATGGCCCCTGCGCCGGCGGTGGCAGCAGAAGGAATGATATCTGCATAGGGACTTCGCTGGCCAGCTAACAGAGCCATCTGATGATAGTATTCTGCTGGGCTGACTCCGGCGTGGGGGGCTGGATGGAAGAGGAGACAAGAAAAGCATTGTTACCAGTTGGAAGAAGGTCAACAAGAAGCTTTTCTTGAGATACCCCAAAATCCATGTGTCACGCAGCCCACAGAGCCATTCCTTTCATGGTTCGCTCTAGGAAAACTTCTTTAACTCAAACTGTGCTTTCACTGAAGTTTCCCAGATATCACTGATTAAAAGATAAAACTGAAGAAAAAGCACAGAAAAAAAATTAAGTACACGATAAAACTTTTGAGGTTAGTTTCAAGAAATCACTAAGACTGGCATATATACACTACTACCTATAAAATGGATAATAATGAGAACCCGTGTATAGCACAGGGAACTCTACTAAGTGCTCTGTGGTGACCTAAATGGGAAGGAAATCCAAAAAAGAAGGGATATATGTATATAAATAGCTGGTCCACTTTGTTGTGCAGCAGAAGCTAACACAACATTGTAAAGCATCTAGATTCCAATAAACAATGATTAAATTCATATATGTGCACGTATCTGTACACTCATCTCTCTGTTTGCTCCCCAAAATAAAAGTGTCTCATATCAAATGGAAACAGTGACACACTATTTTCTTGGGCGTCAAAATCACTTGGAGAAGGAAATGGCAACCCACTCCAGTACTCTTGCCTGGAAGATCACGTGGATGGAGGAACCTGGTAGGCTACAGTCCATGAGGTCACAAAGAGTTGGACACGACTGAGCGACTTCACTTTCAAAATCACTGCAGATGGTGACTACAACCATGAAATTTAAAGATGCTTGCTCTTTGGAAGAAATGCTACAACCAATCTAGACAGCATATTAATAAGCAGAGACATTACTTTGCCAACAAAGTTCCTTCTAGTCAAAGCTCTGGTTTTTCCAGTAGTCATGTATGGGTGTGAGAGTTGGACTATAAAGAAAGCTGAACATCAAAGAATTGATGCTTTTGAACTGTGGTGTTGAAGAAGACTCTTGAGAGTCCCTTGGACAGCAAGGAGATCCAACCAGTCCATCCTAAAGGAGACCAGTCCTGAATATTCATTGGAAGGACTGATGCTGAAGCTGAAACTCCAATACTTTGGCCACCTGATGAGAACTGACTCATTTGAAAAGACCCTGATGCTGGGAAAGATTGAAGGTACGAGGAGAAGGGGATGACAGAGGTTGAGATGGTTGGATGGCATCACCAACTTGATGGACATGAATTTGAGCAAGACCTGGGAGTTGGTGATGGACAGGGAAGCCTGGTGTGCTGTAGTCCATGGGGTCTCAAAGAGTTGGACATGACTGTGGGACTGAACTTACTGACTATTTCGAATCACTGTTATGTTCACATTTTTTATTTTCACATTTCTTACAGTAGTAGACAACTTAGATAACTACAATGACCTTCCCGACATATTTAAAATACTTCCCTAAGCTTTCTGGCAAGAGGGTCTGAGTCAGCTCTTGGTAGCTAGAGAACCCAGCGCCATGAATGGAAACGGCAGCACAGCCCGAATTTAATAACACATGGCTGGGTGGTAAGCTGCAATTTTGTGTTCCATAATTTTAAAGTTCTTTTTTTTTTTTCATTTCAAAATCAAGAAGAAATATACCTATCAATCTGGAGCAATTTACTGGCAAGTGTCAGCTCTGTAAGAGGGGGATAATGATCGGTTTCCACTGGACAACTTACGTGCCAAAGCTGCAGGATACTATAGCAGTTCTGAGGGTGGGCTCCAGAGGCACTGAGATCTAGATGCAAATCCCAGCTCCACCTCTTCAGGAAGGTGCTAGGAGGAGTGAGGGTGATGGTGCATGAAAAGTGCTTAGCACGTAACATTAGGTCAATAAAAGCTAGTTTTATCATTAAAATGTAGAAACACTGGCATTCTAGCAACAGGTCTAGGTATGCTTCATATTTGTGTTCAAATACTTTTTATTTACTGAAGTATAGTTGATTTACAATGTTATATTAGTTTCAGATATATAGTAAAGTGATTCAGTTATATATATACATATATATTTTTCATATTCTTTTCTAGTATATGTATTATAATATATAGAATATATTAATAATTCTCTGTACTAGACAGTACATTGTTTATCTATTTTACATCTAGTAGTGTGTATCTATTAACAACAAATTCCTAATTTATCCCTCATTCCCTCTTTCCCAAACCATATGTTTGTTTTCTAAGTCTATGAGTCTATTTCTGTTTTGTAAATAAGTTGTGTGTGTGTGTGTGCATGCGTGTGTACTCAATCTCATCTGACTCTGCAACCCCATGGACTGTAGCCCACCAGGTTGCTCTGTCTATGGAATTTTTCAGGCAAGAATACTAGAGTGGGTTGGGTTGCCATTTCCTCCTCCAGGGATCTTCCCAGCCCAGGGATTGAACTTGCATCTCTACCATCTTCTGCAATGGCGAGCAGATTTTTTACCACTGTGCCACCTGGGAAGCCTGTAAATAAGTTAATATGTATCATTTTTTTTATAGTCCACTTATAAGTGATGTATTTGTCTTTCTCTATCTGACTAACTTCAATTAGTAGATCATCTCTAGGTCCGGCATGCTGCTGCTGCTGCTGCTACGTTGCTTCAGTCGTGTCTGACTCTGTGCAACCCCAGAGATGGCAGCCCACCAGGCTCCCTTGTCCCTGGGATTCTCCAGGCAAGAACACTGGAGTGGGTTGCCATTTCCTTCTCCAAACATGCTGCTACAAATGGTATTATTTCATCCTTTTTTAAATATTCTTTTCTACATCTTATATTATCTTTTATTTATTCTTCTTTATATTTCATACTTTTCATACATCATAAAGATAGATATATACAAAAATCATGGACTGCAAGAGACAAATATGAGTGACTTGACCTTGGCTATTAATTGGCCTCCAGTGAGGCAGGACGAAAAATGCAGAACTAATCAAAAATGTTTTATCCATACTCACCATCAAATACTATGAAAAGCAGATGATAAGATGCTTTAACTAGAGGTACTGCCTTCAGTGGCCCCACTAAATTTCCAGATGTCAGGCATCATTCCAAGCTCATCGTCAGCTGACCTGTCGACCCTTCTCTCCCTCTCTTCTTGAGAGTCACTTTCATGGAGTCCCAAGTATTCTATGAAGGTGACTCTCCATTTTTCCCACTGGAAAACCAAATCCAAAGCAGAACAAACTCTGATCTCACTCTTTTACAGTTTTTATTTTTAAAGTGTGCATCTCGTCCAAATGGTAAAACTTCTTCCTTGGGTACTATACAAGTATATCCACTGCATTGAATCCGAGGGGAAAAAAAAGTGACTCAGCAGCTGTTGCTGGAGCCCAGCCACTCCTGGAAGTATGACTGGGTGAATATTTACTGAGAAATTCCAGGCTGCTTCCACCTACTATTCCCACCATGCACAAGCAGCCCTGGGAAGTGTCTGCATGGAGAATATGGGCTGCGCCGGGGCAAACACTGCTGGGTGAGCCAGAATACATGTGCGCCTGCACAAGCACCAGCAATTTGTGCTTTGCTCCAGAGAGCTCACAGTTCTCTACTTGTCACCAGTACAGCCTAAGCCATTCTGAGCCTTAACACAGATTCCAGCAACTGTAGACAGGTGAGTTTGTATATGTGTTCATGAAGTGTGAAATGTGCTCTCTGAACCAAAGGGACATTAAAAGTTTTTGTTTGTTTGTTTTGGGGTATAGTTGATTTATAATGCTGTGGTAGTTGTGGATGTACAGCAAAGTGAATCTCTTATGCATATACATATTTCCACTCTGTTTTAGATTCTTTTCACATATAGGCCATTACAGAGTATTGAGCGGAGTTCCCTGTGCGACACAGTAAGCCCCAGAGGAGCATTTTAATCATGGACAGTTGTGGAATGAACAGCTCCAACTTAAAAGTCAGGTGACAATAATTAATTGGGAGGCTCACAGAACAACAAGAATCTGGTCCTTGGGAGCTGAAAATGAGCATCCTGTATAAGAGAATTAAAGTCAAAGGTCATTTCTTGTCCCACTGCATCCCTCTTGCAGTGTTCGTGTGGCATGGTCAAGGACAGGGGGCATATACAACAGGGCTAGGCCATCATGTTCTCTAAGATCTTCTAAGATCGTTCAGAATGTGGTCCCTAGACTCGCAGCACTGAAACGACCTGGGGGCGTCTCAGAAATGCAGAACCTCAGCTCCCCAGACCCATCCCACCAGAAAGCATATTTTATCACCATCCCCAGGTGATGTATATACATACTGGAGTTTGAAAAGTGCTGCTCCAATGGACACATCTGTATACATGTGCCCTTCAGACCTGAAGAGAAAAGTGTCCCTCAGAAGGTGAGCAAAATGTGCTGGTTACACAAGTACAATACAGGAATGGCAATAGAGCCAGTCTAAATAGATCCACAAAACAGAGTAGTGAATAAGAGGATTTGGGCGTCACAGTATTTTGGCTCTTGAGTTCCACCTCTGCCATTTACTAGCAAAGGAGCCAGGTTGCAAGTTACTTGGCCCCTCTGCCAAATCCTCATCTTAAAATGGAGATTATATCCTCACCCTCATGGAGGTGTCATAATGCTGAAATAAGAGCATGCAGTCACAGCACTTAGCACAGCCCCTGGCACACAGGACACAAACGCATCAGTTCCTCTTTACCACGTCCCATGATGTGTGGAAGCAGGAGAGGCTGGTCTGAAACTCACCATCTGTGGGGCTCAGCCCACGAGCGGCCGAGATCATGGAGAGCGATGGGCTACTGTGCAGGGACCGGATGTAGTCCATGTAGGGGTTGATGTAGGGATGCGGGGGGCTGAAGGGGGACTCGGAAGCTGCAGCAGGGTTCCGATGTGGGGAGATCCTGATGAAGGGCAGGTCAGAATACGTGGGGCTACTAGATAAGGCAGAAGGCCTAGGTAAAAAGAAAAGCAGACACAACAGGTACACATGAGACAAGAGCTCCATAGGCAGAGGCTGTCTGTGAAAGAAAATAAGCATGATTTCAAGGTGTCTTGGGGGAAAAATACCAGGCATTTACAATTCTAGTACTGACCTTAAAAATCACAGTGACATAATGCAGGCAGAATGCTACTACACAATTGTTTAGGCAAAGACATTTGACCTTTGAGAAATTTTCTGGCACTCGCAACACAGGAAAACAAAGCCTTTGGTTTTCTTCATGAGAAGAAATTCTAAACAGGCATCTGAGCTTGAGGTAACTGTGATTCTATTTTCTATTTGACATGAATGTTAATTTCACTGCTGAACTTACCTCTCACCATCATAGTGCTGCATTAAAAAAAAAAAGAAAAGGAAAGGAAGGAAGGGAGGGAGAGAGGAAGGGAAGAGAAAGAAAGGGAGAAAGGAAGGAAAGGTGGAAGGAAAGAAAAAAAAGGAGAGAGAAAGAAAAGAAGGAAGATTCGTCTGGTTTGGAAGTCTGAGCATGCACAAGGCAGAGATGCCTACAAATAAGAAAAAAGTCTAGGGAGAGGGGATCGGGATGGGGAACACATGTAAATCCATGGCTGATTCATGTCAATATATGGCAAAAAACACTACAATATTGTAAAGTAATTAGCCTCCAACTAATAAAAATAAATGAAATAAAAAATAAAATTAAACTTCTTTGCACCATTTAAAAAAAGAAAAAGAAAAAAGTCTAAATCCAAGAGTCTGTAAGAAGCATGAAATTGACAGTCTATAAGGCCATGCTCCAGCTTTAGTGCTCTGGGTCTTGCAGTCGTGAGTAAAACCATTTTCTCCCATCTGTGTTTCCCTGTTTTGAAGGCAGCCATAGGAGGCAGCTTTCTCTCATACTTTTTTTGCCTGTGGCTTCCTGATTGGCCACATTCAGTGAACAATCAGTAATGAAGTGCTCCTGGGGACAGAAAGTTGGAAGAGATTGAGTTTATGTCCTAGTTATAAGGAGCAAAGGTAGAGAGTAAGCTTTTGACTGATGCAAATAAATTCTAAGCACACCGTGCTGCCACCATACCCCACCCACTCCAGGGGATTCCCTTCCCAGAGCCGGCCCCATGCCCCGGGCACAGGCGTTTGTAGAATGGCCAGTCTGTGGAACACCCCCTCGCCGCCCTGTTCCTCCTCTAATAGAAAACGTTTTGTGTGGATAATCCAGTGAACTGGCTCTGACAGGCTAAACACTTGTACTTTCTCTTTTTTCATTCACAGAGAATATGGCCTTAAAAAGGCAAGGCTGTGATAGAGTGGGATGTACTGACTGCAAACTCCTCTCAGGGCACTGGCTTTAAGAGTGAAAGGAAAGGGAGGATAAACAATTTCTCACCCCGCCTCCCCAGCAAAGGCACACGCAGCCGGGGCTCTGGCCCCCAAGCCCATGAGAATGGAATCCTGGGAGAAGCCCGTTCTTGCAAGTGCACAGGGCAGGCACTGGATTAAATGAAACCAAAGCTCACACCGTGAATTTTCTCCCAGTAGAAAATCAAAGAGGTTAAAATACACGAGAGAGACGGGATTTTCCTGACTTTCTCCTTCTTACTCTTTTTACCATTTTGAACTTAAAAAAAAAAAAAATGAGGCTTTTTATTTGTTCTTAAGATGCCACTTCTGGATAAATAAACTACAAATCCAGAGTTTTCTAAATTTACATGTGGGCAGGGTGAGAAGTCACCACCTGAAAATAGTTACGTCTTTTCCAAACGACTTGAGGCTTTCCAAAATCACTTAGAAAACAGAAATTGGCATGATCTATCCTATTTTAGCTCTTTTCTACGAAATAAATTAGCTCTGTGTCATTGGTTAAATCTGAAGTTCCATTTAGACCTGCTGCTACTTTAGAGAACATAGGACTCTCAAATTCAGTCATTCATTTTCTACCGGAAAGGAAAATCAATCCTTCCAATCTGATTCAAAAGTGATTATTATGAAAAAAAAAAAAAAAAAAAAAAGTGATTATTATGAAATACAGCTCACTTGTGGATTTATGATGAGAGACAGATGCCACAAGAACAGACATGTCAGAAGAGAAGCAGGCATTTCAAGATCCATGAGATGATACCTCCTAGACAAGCTTTTTTTATGATCCATGAAGAACTCTGAATCAGTGAAGGTGATGCCATTGCTTATTAGTTTTTTTGTGAGGCAAAAAATTGGAACCTGTAATCTTTCTCAAGTTCCAGAATTGAAAATGGTAGTAAGAATATTCCTAGCAGCTTAGATTCCATTGAAGAATAATAGATGGGGGGGGGGGGCGGACAAACAAACAGCATTTAAAACAATATGAATATATAGATGTCAGGCTGAGGTGGTCGCCAGTCCCAAAGAAGCAGAAAAACTCGCTTTTCTCTTCTCACAAATTTGTGGATGTTGACGTGCACACCGTCCCCTTCACTTTCACTGACCTGTTTCCAGAGAAGACTAAGGATAACTATTCTATGAGTAACGAATCAAGACCTGGGCACCTCTTTCCCAAAAGGAACATCCAGGCTCCATCCTCGCTTCCATACCAGTGTGGGGCAACAGCAGAAAAGAGGGTTGTTGCTTCCAAGATCTGGAGATAAAGTCAGGCAACTCCACACACTCTGGTGAATGTCATATGCATGCATGTCACTCCCCTCCAGCGACGATGCAGGGAAGATTTTGGGTCACCTATTTCTCAATGAGATGGTGGGACATGTTTTCAAACAGGCATGCAACTATGAAAGTTGCAAGGTGTCAACTGCCCTAAAGAAAAGAACTATCTAGTAGACAAAGGCCAGCCAGCCCCGGATACAACAGGAAAATGGTTAACGAGGGTCACTCTGGGTGGGGTCATCAGGAATTCTGGAGACAGTTGACTCAGATCATCACAGCAGTGGTACTATGGAAGGGCTTGTGGATGAAGGGGAACTGACACGAATGGGACAAGAAGTTGCGTGATGCTGGCTGTGATATGAAGCCCTCTTGGTGGCTCAGAGGGTAAAGCATCTGCCTGCAGTGCAGGAGACCTGGGTTTGGTCCCTGGGTCGGGAAGATCTCCTGGAGAAGGGAATGGCCATCCACTCCAGTACTCTTGCCTGGAGAATTTCATGGGCAGAGGACACTGGCGGGTACAGTCCATGGAATTGAGACAGTCAATCGCTAGGCAGGTTGATAAGAAGTCCAGGGTCCCCGAGGAGGAGAAGGGGTCTGGGGCTCTCAAGGAGGAGATAAGGGTCTGGAAATCTCAAGGAAGAGAAAAGGACATTTTTTCTACATTCCTTAATCTTAGTCACATAAAACGTTTTTTTTTTTTTTTCTTTAAGCCCAGAGCTGATGATTACACAACAATACAACTCAGTTTAAACACTGTACCAATGATTATATAACAACAATGTATCCTGTATGAAGACAGTTTCTCCTTCTTAAAAACCTTCTGACTAATCCTGTTATCTTAAAATATATATTGCTACCGGAGTGGGTCTCATAAGATTTTTCTACCATTAGTTCTAATCCTGTCATCTCAATGATTAGTGCAAAGAAATAGAGGAAAGCAATAGAATGGGAAAGACTAGAGATCTCTTCAAGAAAATTAGAGATACTAAGGGAACATTTCATGCAAAGATAGGCTCAATAAAGGACAAAAATGGTATGGACCTAACAGAAGCAGAAGATATTAAGAAGAGGTGGCAAGAATACACAGAAGAACTATACAAAAAAGATCTTTATGACCCAGATAATCACGATGGTGTGATCACTCACCTAGAGCCAGACATCCTGGAATGTGAAGTCAAGTGGGCCTTAGGAAGCATCACTGCAAACAAAGCTAGTGGAGGTGATGGAATTCCAGCTGAGCTATTTCAAATCCTGAAAGATGATGCTGTGAAAGCGCTGCACTCAATATGCCAGCAAATTTGGAAAACTCAGCAGTGGCCACAGGACTGGAAAAGGTCAGTTTTCATTCCAATCCCAAAGAAAGGCAATGCCAAAGAATGCTCAAACTATCACACAATTGCACTCATCTCACACGCTAGTAAAGTAATGCTCAAAATTCTCCAAGCCAGGCTTCAGCAATATGGGAACTATGAACTTCCAGATGTTCAAGCTGGTTTTAGAAAAGGCAGAGGAACCAGAGATCAAACTGCCAGCATCTGATGGATCATCAAAAAAGCAAGAGAGTTCCAGAAAAACATCTATTTCTGTTTTATTGACTATGCCAAAGCCTTTGACTGTGTGGATCACCACAAGCTGTGGAAAATTCTTCAAGAGATGGGAATACCAGACTACCTGACCTGTCTCTTGAGAAATCTGTATGCAGGTCAGGAGGCAACAGTTAGAACTGGACATGGAACAACAGACTGGTTCCAAACTGGGAAAGGAATATGTCAAGGCTGTATATTTTCACCCTGCTTATTTAACTTATATGCAGAGTATATCATGGGAAACACTGGGCTGCATGAAGCACAAGCTGGAATCAAGGTTGCTGGGAGAAATATCAATAACCTCAGATATGCAGATGACACCATCCTTATGGTAGAAAGGGAAGAACTAAAGAGCCTCTTGATGAAAGTGAAAGAGGAGAGTGAAAAGGTTGGCTTAAAGCTCAACATTCAGAAAACTAAGATCATGGCATCTGGTCCCAGCACTTCGTGGCAAATAGATGGGGAAACAGTGGAAAACAGTGGCAGACTTTATTTTGGGGGGCTCCAAAATCACTGCAGATGGTGACTGCAGCCATGAAATTAAAAGACACTTGCTCACTGGAAGAAATGCTATGACCAACCTAGGCAGCATATTAAAAACCAGGGGCATTACTTTGCCAACAAAGGTCCATCTAGTCAAGCCTATGGTTTTTCAAGTAGTCATGTATGAGTGTGAGAGTTGGACCAAAAAGAGAGCTGAGTGCCAAAGAATTGATGCTTTTGAACTGTGGTGTTGGAGAAGACTCTTAAGAGACCTTTGGACGGCAAGGAAATC